GCAGCGCGCATTCCGGCGCGCGACTGAGCGCTGTTCTATTTCGCGGCCGTCAGTGGGCGGCGTTCATTCGTATCAAACGACGCGGGCAGAAAATCGATTCGTAACAAACGTACTCTAGCGCATTGCAAAGTAATGGGGCTCGGCAGGGACCACAGAAAAATTCGTATCATCCGGAAATTCGTATTAGCCGTGATCGTATCATCGAGATTCCACTGTATTCACAATCACTCAGAAAGCCCCTGCAGAGTAGTCTGAAGCAGGCTTTTGCTTGTGCTTTTTATTTGCGGCTGCCTGGAACGCCACTGAAGATGCACGTTTCCTCTCCGAGCTGACGGCACGACGATAGTTAGGGCCCCTAACTTTATGCGGTGGAAAATTTGGGATTCTGCAATTCCAGATAGAGAAATCTGCGAAATTCCGTGGCAACTCTAGACATGCGAAATTCTGTGGCAATAATGAACAAATGCAAGAAGGCACACGTAACAACTTATTTATCACACTTTCAGGCTCGCAACATGCCTGCAATAATTAAAATTGAAGAAAAGCTGTTGTGGCACAGCATCAGATGGTGCTTGGTGCTCTCTTCACTTAGAGAGTGACGCTTGTGGGAGACAATGTCACCATAGCGACTAAATGATCTCTCGGCATCAACAGAGTTGATCGGTATCTCCAAGTATTTCAAGGCGATTGATGAAAGGGTTTGAGTAAGCTGCTCCATCACTGCCCAGGATATCGAAGTCTACTCCTGGATTTTGTTGCTTGGACACAAATGGAGCCAGATCCCTGTCACTGGTCTTCAGTTCTTGTGCAGTCTTCAGGTAAATCTGCCATCCGGCAGCTAGAGCAAGTGATTCTTCTGCAAGCTGAGGCATGCCTGTCAACTCTGTCCTCTTCTGTGGAAGACACCAAACTTGCAGAGGATCCAAGCACCTAACATCCTTGAAGAATTGCCACGTATTGGACTTCTCCAAGTATACCTGTGCTTTGTTAGTCGCTTTGGTCATTGCAGCCTTCATCTTGCTTTCAATTTGATTGGCCACATTATGTGCAACATTTTCTCTCTTCGGCTGTGTTGCAAAATCCTCCTTTGAAGCTGCTTCAAGGTACCCCCAGAGCGTAAACAATGCATTGTACGCTTTGTGGCAGGCTACGCGCTGACGTTCTGCTGCTTTCAGCAAGCTGGAAACTTTTTTCCCAAATACCGTAATGCACCGCATGCTCTACCTGAGCTCAGTCGAGTCTTCACTAAGCAGTTTCAGAAGAGAATCAACACATGCTGCTTCACCATACTTCTGGTGGACTTGCTGAAGGATAGTGCTCGAAGTAGGCAGAATGTTGTTCCACAGCCTCAATTCACGAATTCCACCTGCTTTGGACAGGTGCTGGCGGTGCTTTGGCACACTGAACTCCGCACTCTTCCAGATGCGATTTGTAGAAAGCTCTCTTTCTACTTGATAGGTGGAAGGCCTTCTCCATACAAGCGACAAACTTGTTCACTAAAGGAAAAGATGCCTGCAGTGTGCTGCCAACAATGTTCACTGTATGGGCTACACACGTAATGTGAACAGCACCTTCACAAAGTGGCTTTATGCACTCCTTAAGGGGAGATGCGAGTCGAGAAATCGCGTTTTTAGCGAAATTTCTCGTATTTTTTATTTTTATTGCATTGTAATCTTCAAACCTTCTTCTTTCATCTGTGAAAATTTCAAAACTAAATTCGAACCGCAAAATGCAAAAAAAAAATGTGTATGAAGGCATCGCGGTGGCTCAAAATTTCGTGAATTTGCGCCGATATTGGTCATCTTTGACTGCGCGCTGCTCCCCGTCGCAGTGCCGCCCGCCATCGCGATCGGTTGGGAAAGTTGCGTCCGGCCTTCTTCTTACAGCTCCAACGACCGCCAGTTTCGTACGCGGGCAAAAAAAATAAAAAACGAGGCCTTTTTATCACGTGGTTTGAGCGGTTTGAAACGCGCGGCACCCTAAGCCGCATCGCCATTGGCTACCGAGTCATTGTCAGCTGTGTTGGTGGCGGCCATCGCCATTTGGTCCGTCTGCTTTTCTGCGCGTCTACGCATATTTCCGCGATGACAAGCCCGAAAAAGTGCAACGTGAGACCGCAGAAGTTTCGAACGAAGCACAAGTTCAAGGGAAGGCGGCGTAAAGCGCCACGAACGACGGCGACGAACGAGAATGCGCCTATGTGTGCTAGGCCTGACGGCGGCATCGACGAGTGCGCGAGCGGCAGTGGCTGTGATGAAGGGATTGACGCTGCGCTTTCTTTCGTCAGTGCTTCGGAAAAGAAGCTCGGCTTCTTCGAAAAAGACGAAAGACAGCGCGATGAGGTTTGTGCAACGACAGTTTTGTGCGACACCCTCTTGCTGACGGCACTTGTGGCAGGTGTGGCATGCCCTGCTTGCGGTATTCAAAAACTTGCCGTTCGGGAGCCGGCAGAAAAGCGCAAGGGACTTTCGTCGCTCTTCGAACTTCATTGCGAAAACAGCGAATGCTCAGCGACTGTTCTTTCGTGCTCTTATACGTCACTGCGTGTTACGGAGGACGGCAGCAGCCGAGTGAGCCAGCGGTACGACAGTGGGAGCTCCCGAGATAGTTTCGCTGTAAATGTGAAGGCGGTGGTGGCTGCACGCGCTGTCGGCATTGGGCATGAGCAATTGTCGAGATTTCGCTCCATTATTGGACTCCAAAGCCAATGCACCACCGAGGATTTTTTTCGATAGCAAAGAAGGTGCACACCGCTGCCATGGCAGCTGTGAATGAAAACTTGCGCTGATCCAGAGAGTTGACGAAAGGAGTAGCAGGCGAAACTGATGTGGCTGTTATGTTCGACGGCACTTGGCAGAAGAGGGCCACAAAAGCCACAACGGGATTGGCGCAGTTATCTCCTTAGATACTGGCCTCTGCTTAGACTTCGAGGTCATATCAAATTACTGCCTGACATGCAGTAGGCACAAGGATATGGGCCCAGACGAGGAAGTGTGGCAGGCATTCCATGGCCCAGTCTGTGAAAAAAATGCAGACTGTTCCTCCCATGCCATGGAAACGGAGGCTGCAATGCGCATTTGGCAGAGAACATTGACTTATGACACCCCACTGCATTTCATGACATTCTTGAGTGACGGTGACAGCAAAGCATATAGTGCAGTTGCAGTCAAAAGTCTATGGTGCTGTCAATACAGAAAAAGAAGACTGCACTAATCATGTGGCCAAGAGACTTGGCACCACGCTACGGAAGCTGCATGTGCCATTACCACGAAGGCAGAAAATGAAAGAGCCAGCCATTCAGAAGCTCCAAACATACTATCAGATTGCCATAACAAGCAACAGGGGGAGTGTACGGGATATGTACACTGCAGTATGGGCTTCGTACTTCCACTCATGCTCTACTGACAATGCTGGCAGCCACAAGTTTTGCCCTGCAGGAACAGAGTCGTGGTGCAAACATCAACGCGCTGAAGCACTTGGTGAACCTGCACCACGCCACACACCTCTCCTGACAAAAGCACAGGGATTGGCTGTTTTGCCCATTTATAAGCGGCTAACGGATGAGAAGCTCCTTGCTCGATGCATCAAAGGGAAAACCCAGAACGCATCAGAATCCCTGAACAGCAAAATTTGGCTACTTTGCCCCAAGACTAAGTTTGTCTCCCGAACGGTTGTCGAGACTGCCGCAGCTATGGCAGTCCTGTGGTTCAACAAGGGTCATACTACTTTCGAGCACATCCTGGAAGAGCTCAACATACTGCCATCTAGAGATCTAGTTACTTTCAGTGATTCCTGCGATGCAAGGCGCATCAAGAGAATGTCCGAGCGTCTGACAGCAGAAGCAAGGGCCCACCGTCGTCGTGGAGTGAAAAGGGCACGGCTAGAAGAGAGTGCTCGCAAGGACCGTGAGGGCACAACCTATGCTGCAGGACAGTTCTAGTAACTTGCAGTGCTTTTCAAAGTTCTGTTGAACATTATGGCCAAAGATTATGCATTTCTAACAACTCTGTGATAAAAAAAAAAAAGGTTTCAAACTTTCAAATGCGTTTTTCTCCTTTTGCAGTTTTGTGTGATCTGTGCTTCTTATACACGCTAGTTCGTATACTTAGAATTGTCATACCTCTATGAAATTTTGCACATAGCATGATGAAGGCCCATAGAGTGCAAGTATATATTCAGATTGTCAGTGCTGCTTGATTATGTTTTTCAGAAATTACATAACATTGAAAGCCCTTGGCAACTAGAGCCATAGTAACTTTTTCTATTTTATTATTGTATTTCACCTTTTTACACACAAAATTTATATAGTTTTTTGCACTCTACAGTTCCAAAGGATCATAGTCAGCTATATCTGCATGCTTTATCTCAAATTTTTATAGGTCAGAATTGTTGCATAACAATGGCCATACTTTTGCAGTATCTGACCTGCAGAAAGAAAACAAAGCAATCTACATGAAAATAAATGACATATTTGAAAAGAGGAGGAAAAACTCTATTAGCATGCCAATTTGTGTTAAATTCAGACTCTTATTAAAGAAAATCGTTTTTCGAGTGGCATCTCCCCTTAAGGGAGGTCAAGTTAATGAGATTTTATTTTATCTTGAGCCGTTGTGCAAACCAGTTGTTATAGTCCTAAAGTTTTAATCCTAAAATTATAGTCCTAAAACGCATGCACGTGCAAGTGTACAGGCGTACATGTACAGGTTGGCGCATATTTGATGTACTTGCAATGAATCTTGATAATGGCACTTTTGTTGTTGTTCTCCTGCTTTTGTGCATGTTTGCACATGCACGTATTGAGTTTTTTTTATGTGTCTCGAAAACCCTCACTGACAATATGCCTTGTGATTGCATCACAGTTTTGCCCCATAAGACCCCGTAATTTAGTGTTTGAAATTCTCAACATTGCAATGATCACATTTTTAAGTCTAGCACTTTTTTTTTTGCTTCAATTTGACCTCCCCTCCTCCCTCCCATTCATGCCTACAATGAATGTGCAGCCGGTACGAGCTGCGGCCCGAGTTCTACAGCGAGTTCAACCCCTTCTTCTACCACTACACGCGGGAGGAGCAGTCCAAGGCGGAGGAGGCCCAGCTGAGACGCCGGAAGCAGGCTGGACTGGAGCCGTGCTGTCCGCCGCCCATTCCCCCGGAGTTTGCCCGCCCCTTTGCCATGGTCGTCAACCTGCTCCAGTGCGACGTCATGCTTCGGGTAGGTTGCGTTGAATAGAAACTTTGCAGTCGCTCATTTGCTTGGTACTCTTTGGTCACACTTGGCCCTTGTGCCACTATGTGCAGCTTCGTTTTAACTTGATGCAATGTGCGTGTGATGCCGCAGAACTTAAACACGGCAGAAGCTGTTAAGGCAGAGAGCTTTCTATTGCGGTTGCTGTGTCTAATCTGTCCTCTCTGTAATGATGCCTATATAGTGGCACTGTGCCAAACGAAAGCTTCAAATTTGGATTTTGCTATGCCCAATTTTCACATAGCTTTTGACAACAGCTCACAAGCAAAATGCTTGTTTCTGAACTTCTACTACTCATTTTAGTCTAAAATCACACTGTGATGTAAAACGTGGTCTCAGGATTGCAGAAAAACATTATTCGAAAAACTGAAATATTGACCAAATTTATTTATTTATTTATTTTCAATACTGCCAGTCTCATACAAGACCAAAGCAGAAGGGCATCAGTTCTTGGATACACAATACAGTTTTCAGTTTCACATTTGTACAGCAGCATATTTGTCAGAACGTCTAAGAGTGGCTGGAGGCAGAAATGCCTGAAGGGGCCTCAAGGTCTTTACAAATTCAATAACTGCATATAAACACTGAACAATTGGTACATACTTAAAGACGGCATACAAGACAGTTCTTATCTAGTAGACAACACAACACTAGTTGTACACAAACACAAGAACACTGGGAACAATACACCAGAAAAATACACACTTAGGTAACTTAGAATCAGTTACTGCAACCAGCAAAACAAATTCGTTTACGTGCAATTGAACGCGAAATTTAGAATTCCCATTGCCACGATGGTAATGATGGTATAAATGATAGATGTCTGAAAGGCTTGTCTCCAGAAATATATTTGTGTTGGCGGTCCTCCTGAGGCGGCAATTAGAAATGTTGACTAACGAGTTGCATGCATCACTATGCCACCGTTCAGACCATTGCTTGCTCAGTCATGACATGGCTTGAATGACCGCTTTTTACCAAGCATATTCCTAGATGCCCCACCTTTCTACCACAGGTGATGAACCTGGTGCTAGAGCGTTCAACCAGCCCAAGCACGGGCGCGTTCTCGGAGACCCAGCTGGAGAAGACGTTGCACCTGATCGGGGTGGCGCTGCACGAGGAGCAGCGGCTGCGGGACAAGGGTCTCTCTATGGCGGACTCCTTCTTCGCGTTCACCACCCGGGCCACACAGTCGGGGCTGGACGTCGCCCTTGAGAAGTATGAGGGCCAGTCGTATCTGCATGTGTGCTCATTTTCGTTGAAGGGTAACGTCACAGACTTCTGTGACTTCACCGCTTGTCGATGCTGGATATGTCAAATGTTATGGAAATTGAAAATTTTAGTTGATACACTTCTTAAAATTTGCATTTTGACATATTGTTAAAAAAGTATAAGTTGTGGGCAATAGTGGTAGTGATGCCTGCTGTCAAGGAAGCTAACCAGAGACGCAAGATTAGTGTTGCAGTTACTTACGTGCTTCACTTAACTGCTGGTGTAAATGGTTGATTGATTGATGTGTGGGGTTTAACGTCCCAAAACCACCATATGTTTACGAGAGACGCCGTAGTGCTGGACTCTGGAAATTACGACCACCTGGGGTTCTTTAATGGGGGACGCGCCCTTTGAAAACCGAAAAATTTTGAAAAGGTCGATTTTTTGAAAACCACATAGTCAAGTAGTATGTCTTATAAGCTATGTATTCTATAGATATCAATGTCTAATTCATCGCGAAAGTACGTCAAATAAATGATAGAACATGCCGTGGTAGCCGGCGAGTGGTCAACGAACACTGAAAATTCCCCAACTTCGCTTGTTTGCAATTTACCAACCACGCGGCCTAGCGCCGCCATCTTGATCTTGTTTTGCTCGTGAATTCTTGCTGTTTTTCTTTTTTTTTCGCCGCTCGTGGCAGCAGCGGCGGCGTGACCGAGGCGGGAATTCCTCATGATTGTGGAGCTCTCGAAGTTAGGTTCTGCTTCATCTCTGCAAGACAATAACTACATTGTCGCTTATCACGACGTCGAGATGGCTACACCATCGACGCCAGACCCCGTTGTCACAACTGAGGTTGGTGTTGGTGTTTCGTGCACAAGTGTGCCTGATGCGTCACACTTGCTAACCGCAGTGATTACGGCCCCCAACAGTGCGACCACGTCGTCGACTGTGCATTTGCAGACACGTTTTCGGACGTGCGAGGAGTTAGCCGCAAAGGACAGCAAACGTGCTGCTGTGCAACAAAAGCTCGGCGCTATGCTGGAGACCGAGAGGAAGTTTCAGATGATGCCTGAACCTGAGGATGCCACCGCTACGACTCAAGGCGAGAAATATTTCCTTGTGCAAGGGAATGCCCTTAGCGACCTGCTGTCCACGTGCTGTCGACGTGCTGCCTCGCGACTGGGGTGAAGTTTCAAAGAGGCACCCAGCTTGGACTTGCCACGAAGCTTCAGCTATTATGTGAGAACTGTGGAATAGTTTTGAGCTCATGGAGTTCTTCTCGCTAGAACGAGTCAAAAGCCTTCGACGGGAATACAAGGGCTATTATGGCTGTGAAGCAAATAGGGAAAGGGCAGACTGCTTTCAACGACTTTTGGGCTGCTATGAATGTGTCCCACCGTAGCCTGCACCTTAGAACTTTCCAGAGGCACCTGAAGCAATTCAGAGAACCACGGGAACAGACCCTGGAAAAATTCTACGTAGAATCGGCCTCTGCCATGAGAAAGGCGCACAAGGAGATGGACCCATCTTTCTGCAGGGACATCACAGTGAACTATGATGGGACTTGGTACAAGCGTGGACATACATCCCACATTGGAGTTGGGGCAGCCATAGAGTACCACACAGGCCTTATCTTCGATGCAGTAGTGTTGTCTAATCAGTGCCTCGGCTGCCAGTTAGGGCTGAAGCCCGAGGACACTGGCTACGCAAGTTGGTTGGAGCAGCACATGTGCCAAAAAAAAAAAAAAAAAAACACTGATGGGAAAATGGAGTGGCGGTAACTCACATTCTGTGTCAAAATGCAACCTCCGTTACACAACCATTGTATTCGATAGAGATAGGGCCACACATTCTGCCCTTCAACAAGAGAATGTTTATGGGTTAATCCCTATCGTCAAAAAAGAATGCCTCAACCATGTTCGGAAGAGGATGGGCACAGCTCTGCATAATCTCGTGCAGAAAAGTGAACAGGCTCTAGGAGGGAAGGACAGATTGACGAAAGCACTTATTGATAAGCTGACGGATTATTATGGCTGGTCACTGTGGAACAATTCCAGTGATGTGACTGCAATGCAGCGTGCAGTGATGGCATAATTTTACCACGTCACCTCTACAGACACGGACCCTCACCATGAATTGTGCCCGGAATGTGTGGTGCCGTCATAATGCCAGCAAGGCGAATGATGCGCCCCCTCCAAAGCATACTGACAATCTTCCTGGCTATGTTGCAAAAGCGTTGCTGCCTGTCTATCAGCGCCTTTCACAGGCTTCCTTTCTGCAATGCTGCCTGGGAGCAAAGACACAAAATGCGTCAGAATCGTTCCACTCAGTTTTATGGTCTTTGATGCCCAAGGAACAGCATTCATCATTGATAGCTGTGGAGACAGCACTGCATAAGGCAGTTTTGAGGTGCAGCGCCGGCTGCTACAGGGCCACCCAAGAGTTAGCGTCATCGGTAGGGCTCACACCTGGCCACCTAACCAACGAACAGGCTCGGAGAAAGACTCCCTCCGTCTGAAAAAGGCTAAAAAACCGATGCAACACAAGCAGGAAAACCGGCAAAGGAAGAGAGTCTCAAAGGACACATCTAGCTATTGTACAGGGTAGTTTTAGGCCTAAATATTTGTTCAAAACTTTTGAAGTCTGTTTTCTAAGAATGGCTTTTTTGGCCAGTGAGGCTGTTTAGTCTAATGATGTCTCTGCAATCGTTCATCTGATTTCTATGAGATTTGCTTTAATATGTACCTTAATAAATAGCCCACCCACTAACAGAGCCGCTTTTTGAGTTTATTGTCTGTAATTTGTGATAAATAATTAGTTTCATTGATAACACCTCAATGGCAAGCACTAAATTTAGTACTATGCTAAAAATTATCAACAAGGAAATTAAAAAAAGGGGCTCTGTCCTAGTGTAAAGCACCCACCCAGGAATCGTCACAGGGAATTTCACAGTCCTGGCACATTTACTCAGTTCACCAGAGCCTGACTAAAAAACCTATGTGGACCATTTTGATAAATCGCTGTAACTTGGGAACTAGTGCACCTAAATACATGAAATTGTGTGGTTATCCAAATGGCTTTATTATTAGCCTACCCTGAAAATTTCATTAGGGTATCTAACAAACAAAGAAGTTACCCTTCCATGGTAGTGTCCTCCCTTAAGGGGAGACGCTCCTCGAAACAGTTTTTTTTTAATTTCTAGTAATAGAGACTTGAAAAGTTTGTTATTAGTATAGTTTTTCATGCAGATTTCAAATATGCAATCATTTTTTGTGTAGCTGCTATAATTATTGAGTTATGCCATAAACAATAGCAAAAAGTTACATTTTTTGCGGGCACTCTTTTATGTACTAAACTTTCAGTAAAAGCACTGTGTCTGATCTTATTTGACTCTTGGTAGATTGAAAAGTGCAAATATCTATATAGATATGTCACAGAAATATTGGAACCAAGAAAAAAAAAATTGTATTGAATGACTTATTATTTTCAATCTCCCTTGAAACAATAAGCTAATATTTTCACAACTAATGCTGGTAGGCATTGCAATTTAGAGTAGACATTTGCATTCTGCATGTGTTGAAGAATATGTGTGCCAAGTTTCGTTACTATACAATGAATATAAGTTTCTAAAAGGCTGCCCGGAAAACGTGAAACTGTCAGAAAAAATGAAAATGAGAAAAACAAGTTTGAAAGTTCGCAAAGTTGGCATTTATTAGGAAATCATTCTTTTTGCATCAAATTGGGGCACAATGAAAAGTACCTTGCCTTGAATGCACTGCAAGTGTCTAGAAGTCCCCTGCACCATAGCTTGGTCCTTCACGGCTCTTGCGGTCAGTGTCCTCAACACGAGCTCTCTTCGCTGTGTTGCGACGGTGTGCCCTCGCTTCTGCAGTTTGCTTCAGGTTTATCTTCCTGATGCGCATGACGTCACAGTGGTCACCATGTGTGGCCAGATTTTGTGAGGGGAGAATTCCAATGCCTTCGAGCACTTCTTCAAAGCCCCTGTGGCCTTTGTTGTACCAGAGTACAGCAAGAGCGGTGGCTGTCTCCACAGTTGTTCTGGAGGCGAACTTTGTTTTTGGACATAGCAGCCATATCTTGCTGTTCAGCGATTCGGCTGCATTCTGTGTCTTGCCATGAAGGCACCGAATAAGGAGTTTCTCCTCTGTAAGGCGCTTGTAGATAGGCATAATTGCCAATCCTTGAGCCTTCGTCAACAGTGGGGTGTGGCGTGGTGCAGGCTCCCCCAGTGCTTCCGCACGCTTGTGCTTGCACCACGAATTTGGTCCCGCGGGGCAAAAGTTGTGGCTACTGGCACCATCACTGGAGCAGCAATGAAAATACGATGCCCATATGGCAGTGTACATATTTCGGACACTGTCCTTGTTGCTCGTGATGGCGATCTTGTAATATGTTTGTAGTTTTATTATTGTCGCATCTTTCAGTTTTTCGCCTCGTGGCAGTGGCGTTGCCAATTTCCGTAGGGCAGTTCCCAAGCGCTTTGCAACGTGGTTCGTGCACTCTTCTTTGTCAATGGGGGTGTCACAGTATACATTTGCCTCGCAGACTGCAGTGTAGGCCTTGCTGTCACCATCACTTAGGAAGCTGGTGAATCGCAGTGGAGTTTCATAAGACAAGGTCCTCTGCCATATATTGACAGCTGCCGCAGGTTCCATTGCATGGGATGAGCAGTCAGTGTTTTTTTGGCAAACTGGAAGATGAAAAGCTCGCCATATCTCTTCATCCTCCCCAAGGTCCCTGTGTATACTGCAAGCATGGCAGTAGTTCGAAAGAACTTCAAAATCGAGGCAGAGCCCCGTGTCCAGGGACACGACTGTGCCCACTCCATTGTGGCTTTTATGACCTCTTTTCTGCCAGGTGCCATCAAACATGACTGGCACATCTCTGCCGCCGACTGCGTCCTTCGTGATGTTTCGTGCCTGGTTCAAGTTTTTGCTCACTGCCGTCATCGCCGCACCCATGGAGCTTCTTGCAAATGCCGT